AAAACTGCACTGATGTGAACTGAAAATACTGTTTGATAGGTGGCAATTATCTCCTTTGTCATTTCTTCTAATAATTTTCATTAAAAAAACTCCACAGAAAATTGAAATGTGGGAATGACAGAAGAGTCACTAGGGGGGAAAAAAGGAGCACAAAGAGGAAGAACATTTAATTTCATTTACCTCTTGTCATTATGTAGTCATATTTGAAGAAGCAGCCTTATACCTGCCTCTTTTGGTCTCCTCTGCCTTGCTCCTCTCTGAAGTCAAGGGTTGGAGCAATGCTCCCAGCAGTTCTCCAGATCTAAGAATAGAAATATTAGGGTGCAGAGATATTGGCAAGAGAAGAGATTGACTGCAGCATATGGACACACATGCATTTAATTGCAGGCCATAGCACCCAGAAATATTAATTATCAAGTTTATTGCAAATGAAAAAGGGAAATCAGCCAGTTGTTCCCCAAAGTTTTTTTATTCTGTCATTCAGTTTTTTAGAGGTGTCACTTGTGCCATCCTTACTCTGTGTAGGAACTAAGTCAAACTAGATCTTTGTTTTCTCAATACCATGATGTCTTTTATTTTTGTAATTTGTACTAACCAGCATGTTTGATAATTTATAATTTGTGACAGCTGGCCTTCCTCCACTAGATTCTTCCTCAGGTTTCTAGCAATTCATGCTGCACAGTCCCACTATCAGTTTGAACATGACCCAAAGTGAATCCCCTTCACAGTCCATTCATGACCTGCATAAAACAAGAATCATGTGCGAAAGATGAGATTATTTAACCAGACAGTTCTCACAATCAAAGGTTGTCCTCATAGCTTTATTGTACTAATCCTGTAATATCCTAATCTTGATTTTGTGATTGTATTCTGCCTTTTTTAATCTAGAGCATCCAACTTTCATTGCATTATTCTTTCATGTTCTTTTCTAGACACTTCTACTAAAATAAAAATTGGGTAAAGTATTATCATAGTTCTTTCTGCACAGTGGTAGAATGGAACAGGCCTTATTGGATTGCCCTTTTTATAAAGTGAGCAGATGGAAGAGGGATAAGAGGACTTCAAAATTGAGATCATTCAGAATATAACAACTATGAAAGATACCAGTCTCACAGGGCATTAGTGGGATCCAGTAAAGCAAGGTTAAAAAATATATGAGTTGGAAATGCATAACAAACTGTGTGATTCAGAAAGATTAAAACACCTCTTCCACAGCTACTGATGGCTGCCATTCATTGTAAATGACAACAGTGTCTTCTTTGATTTAATTTGATTGATGAGTCCTCAGCAAGCTATAAAAAATCCATTTTCATGACAAATACCTTCCCACCCACAGACCAACAGTGTCAGACATGCCTAAAAGTTGTTCCTAAGTTTGCTTTGGACTCCTCTTCAACTAAAACTGTAGTGGTCAATTCAGATGTTATGAAATTGAAACTACTAAAAACTGGAATCTTAGACAATGCTGTGCTCCCAAAGAGAGCAGCATTTTGATTGTTTTAAGGAACAAGGTTTTGTGACCAGTCCGATGACTACTGTATTTTTATTTTCTGGGTTTTTTGTCTCTATATCATACACCCCTGAGGCTGGGGAAGAAAATGGCTGTAGCAGCCTCAAGCAGTAAACACTCTTGCACAAGAGAGCCCACGGCTGTGTTTTGGAGTGATGGAGCCATGGCTTTGTTTACTGGACTGGGCAATTCAAAAAACCCTCAGGTGGCCATGCAGTAAACAAACAAAACTAAATCCCATCTATTCAACATTAAATAAGAAAATTTGTATTAGTTAGAAAACTTCTGTAATTTCCAAAACTCACGGTCAAATCCTGATGAAGCTGCAGCGAAGCACATTTATGGATATGTTATCTTTTATTAAGCCAATTATCAGTGCTTCTCTGCCTAGTTGCTCACATTTCATTGGAGAAATCTGTAGTGTCTTTAAATTGTTCATTCAGATACCCTGCTAATTACTGAACCATTGAGACAATATACTGTCTTTCCCCGGGCTTTACAAAAGTCAGATTTCATACAGTTCTTATAATCAGTAACTCACAAAGTCACCTCTGGTAGAAAACATTAGGGGAAACAAGATTCCACCCAGTGATTTGGAAGGTAGAAAAAATACTCTTTGGTAACACAGATAAAAACAAACCCTTTTTTTTTTTTTTTTTTTTGAGTAATCATCATTAGAGATCATTTGGAGATTTTCTGTGGAAAATGGTAAATTTAGTAATTATTTTGGTTAATTTGCCACTGAAAGACAATAATTGTTATCGGAGTCCTAGCTTAGATATGTACAGCAGCTGAAATACTGTAGTTCAGACTGAGGCTGCATATTCCTTGACTTGGGCACAGTAACAGTTTATTTCCTTCCACCATGAATGCTGGTGGTCAGCTCTGAGTTATCCAGAGGGATGAGTTTTCCCAAGCTTGTGATCATTTTGGGGCTTTCAGCTTGTGTTATTTTATCTTTTTTATGAAAGGCTGTTTTTTTTATTTGGAAGTATCAATAATCATGATTGTGAGATTCTGCATTTGGGTGAGGAGTGTGTTGTTAATAACTTTATAAACCTCTCAATTGAAAGCTTCCCAGGTATCCCTATAGCTTCTCTGCCACAGCATTTGATACATACTTGACTTAAGGGATAGATGTACTTGAGTTAACTTCAGAAGGAGTAAAATTATCTACCTTAAATTCATTTATTTTTCCCTTTCACCTTTTCCATGAGTATGTATGAGCTTTCTTTTAAAAGACTTACCATGTCAAAAACATGGTAAGTCTTTTAAAAGAAGACTTATTTAATTGCTTTAAATACAATAGAGACTACCATTTCAGAATAAAACATTTAGGTTTTGTTTTAATTAGAAATAAATCTTCTCCTTGAGCTTTATTTTGAAATAGTGGAGTTCTTGAATTTTATACAAAATATTGCTCTGGAAAGAGAAATCTGTGTTTCTTTTGATCCAAAGTAATTTGTTGTTTAGGGGACAGAAGGGAAGAAGGAATGATTTCAGAACTGAGAGACATGAATTGCAGAAGTAATAAGGATTTTGAAGAGCACTCATTTTGCTTTGAATGAAACTGTAATCTTGAATTGTCAGCTCTTGAGTCACAAATGTAGCATATGAAATAAAGCAAGGATTTAATATTTATCAGGGCAGGATTTGAGCATGAGGAGATGAGGAGGGAGCAGGGAGGCACAACACCCTTCCCCCAGTTTTGCCTTACCTCCCCTCTTCCTTCCAGCCCAGCTGAGAGGAGTCAGTGCCCACAGCACGTCTGCAGTGCTGCTTCTTCCCTGCACCAAACCTGCTGCCTTTCCAATCAGGGGAAAATTGCCACTCACTGTAATCACAATTGCATCAGACCAGTAGCCTACTTCCAAGGGGAAAATCCCTGCTGTTCCCACCCCTTTTATCTCTAACACCAGAAATCCTTTTTTTTTCGCAGTCAGTGACAGCAGGGCAGGATACCTCTCTAATGTCTATTCGGCAAAGTCAGAACAGCACACTGGGAGGGGAACTGCTGAAATTGCTGGGTCAAAATTAAGCTCTTGAAACTGCATTTGAAAAATTGGCTCTTGGGTTGTGAGAGGCAATCAAGTGTTATCTTTTTCAGTGTCATCTTACTCCTTTTCATTCAGCTACTACTGAAACTGCATTTATATCAAGAAAGGCCTTCGGAATCAGAAGAAAAACTGATCCTGTATATGTTATCTATGAGTTGATACTTTTTAATAACTCAATATGAACTGACACTGAATCCATTAAATGCATACTTTGAGGTACTTTTTAGAAACACCTAATTTTAAATCTTTTTGTATCTTATTACAAGAAAAGGAGGTACTGCCTATTTCCTCCAGCAGTGTGAAGAAAATAGTCTTGAATATGTCAAAGTGAGAAAAAGCCACATGGAACCTCAAAATCATATTTATAGTGCTGGTTTCCATTGTACTGCTGGAGGAGTTAAGAAGAAAAGGAGCCTGTAAAATCTGCACATGTCTGAGTTGCTCTTTAATTTTTAATGTTTTCATATGGGGAAGCCAGAAGACAGAAACTGCAATACACGCTTGGCATGTGCAAACGTGGTAGCTGGCAGGAAAAGAAAGAAATCTCTGTTTAAATGTGTGTGATGAAGTCTGAGGATGATTTTAAAATAATATCTTGGAATGTAGGCCTAAGAGATCTGGGATAAGATTTTTTAATGACTTGTTTCTGCTTTAAAAGGCCAGCAGAAAAAGGCTTGTGAGCTTGTGCTGTGGTTAGGAACAGCAGGGACTCCAGCTCCCAGTAACTGGGGAAGTGATGAGCTCTGAGCATCCCAACATTCCCTCTCCCAAAGCTGGCTGCATTCCAGTTTTTTTCCTTTTTTAACCCAATCAGAAAGGTTGTGAAGGTTTGTGCTGGAGGGTGTCAGCATCTCCTTCCTTCATCTCTTCCTTCACCCCTTCCTCATCCTCCAGCCTCTCGTGCCAACAGGGACCAGCTGATGGGGCCCTGCTCTCAGAGGTTTTTTGGGTGCTGTAGGCAAGTCAGACCAGCCATAAATATTTGGGGATGTCATCCCTGTCTCATCAGGGACTTGTGGGGGTAAATATTTTAGGTATTGCAAGTTGTCCATTACTTCAGTAGGGAAGCCATATTAACAGCTCTGGCAGATATAGAAGTTATATTCACTCTGTTTGGTTAATACATGTAGATAAAACATAAATAATGTTTAGTGATAGTAGTGAAGTCATTTAGAGACAATTTCCAGCAGCACTGAGGACTGACTAAAAGTTGGGAAGTTATCTTTCTTAACAATTCCCTATTATATACCAAGAACAGATTCTTTTTATACTTCTAAGTCCATATACCAAAATAAAAAATGTCAAGAATTGTGTCATCAAGGCATCTATATCAGATGGAAAAGGAAAGCAGCAGCATTATCACTGCTTGGAACAGATTTTATTTATGACCAAAACATTCTTCTATTAATGAAACTTATCTTCTTACTTTGCAGCCTGCAGGCCTGGATTCTATAAAGCATTTGCTGGAAATGTGAAGTGCTCCAAGTGCCCTCCACACAGTTTGACTCACATCGAAGCAACTTCTGTCTGTCAGTGTGAGAAGGGTTATTTCAGAGCTGAGAAGGACCCACCAACTATGGCATGTACCAGTAAGTCTGATCATTACCAGTGTTGGCAATTCTGTATCCTCATTTATTTGGTTTTGTATTTACAAAAAAAAACCAAACCCACCCAAACTATTATTTTGTGAGGAATTCCATTCCTGTTAATCAAAAGAGACTTTTAAAATCAAAATTCAAACAGCATATTTCTGCTTAGTGTCTAGATAACCATAAACATACCCAGGTTCCTCAGTTTGGTGACTTTTGAACTTGTAATTCTGAGATGTAATAGGAGGAGGTGTAATTGTTGTAATATAGATAACAATATGGTGTTTTCACTACTAGTAATGTGCATTTTATATACTTTAAAATTTGCTGGTCCAAAAACTTTGAAAAAGCTGGAGTCATGTAAAGAAAAAAAAACTGATATAACATGCTCTGCTGTCTTCTCAGATTTAAATTAAAAGTGTAAGACAAATATCCCCAAACAATCAAATAAAAACTAAATGCTCTAAAAAAGACAAGAAAATAAGTTTTAGAAAGGAAAAAAATGTAACAAATCAGGATGAGATATAATTTAAACCTCTTGCACCATCACCTTCTTTTAACAGAGAGTTATTCCTTCTTATGCAATTGTCATAATGAAAATTCATTAGAGTTTTTTTGATTAATTTTAGAATACATAATTTTGTGATTTTTGACTAACCTATATTTGTCCCTAAGATAAGGGAGGCATTATGGGAAAAAAACTCACCTTGATTTAAGACAGGCATCCACTTCTTTCTAGATGAGCTTCAAATCCACTTTGATTAATTCTTTGAAAGAACTGTGTGCTTTTACAAAATTGTACAACTCCCATTTTTACTTTATGTAGCTGCATTTCATGGAGGAGAGTGTTCACTTTGCAGAACACCATAATAGAAATCTAATTTCAGTAAGAGGAATGAAAATTACATTAGAATATATTGTTAATCTCCTTCTCCTAGGCTCTTTTCATTTGACTCATACTTCTTATCAATCTCTCACTGCTACTCTTCCTTCTTATTGTATTTCTTTGCCATATGCAAGTACTCTATCAGAAATCTCTGCATACACTGTGAGCAACAAATAGCATCATATCTAATCCCCTGTCTGATTACTCTGTACATAAAGTCTAACATTTCCCACTATAAAGTAATTGGATGAATTGATCCATCATTTCAAGGTCAGGCAGGCTTATGTTGGTTATCTGAGTTGTCTGAATTCCTCCCTTTAATGTTATGCTTAAACAATTTGAACCTGACAAACTTATGCTCTGTTCAATAACTTCTGCCACAAACTACATCCTGTATTTTTAAGTCAACACTGAATTTCAGCAGCAAAATCAGGCAGCACACTTGAAGTCTTTACTGCCTCTATTGTTATATATATACACACTTTTTTGTAATTTAACGTTATGCTCAGACTTGGGATATTGGTTTGCAGTCGCTGGCTTCCATTCTTCCTGCCTGTCTCACAGGAAAAGAATAAGTGAAAAGGGAAAAATGTAATTCTACATCTAGTGACGCTATTTATCTATACTACATATATAGATATCAAAACACAATTATGAACTCAAGGGGCACAGCCAGATGCTGATTCTGAGTATCCTAAGATGATGGTTAATCTTTGCCCTTCTGCTGTAACTTCAGAAGTCAAATGACATGAAATTTTAAGAGTCCAATAGTGTATAATGGACAGTTCTTACTTAAACAGTAACAATTTGTTTTCCTGACAGTCTTCACTCTCAAGAGTGTAGAATACTGCATTGCCCTCACCAGACTTGGTGCTGGGTTTGCTCCTCTTCCTTCCATACACAGGAAGATGCACTTTGCCTTCAGAGAGGAGGAGAATACATAAAATGAGATGAGGTGCAAAGCACTGCATGAGGCACAAACCCAGCTCTGTTGCTTTCAGAGCAGACCTGCTTCACCGTAAGACATCCACGCCAGTCTCCTTCGCAGCAAGTGTCAAAGTACTTCCTCATTGTAATTTGTAAATGAAGCAAAAGCCATTACTCACACTCTGACTGAGTTCCATCTCAGCAGAAGAGCTGCATGTTTTTATAATGCTCATCCATCTGAAGTGTATTTTATTCTTGCGCATAAAACTCAAAGTCATGAATTTTGCTGTGAGGAAAGGATCTCTTATTTTCACCAATCTACTTGTTTTTCTTAAAAATCAATATGAGGAAAACCCCAAGAGCTTTGCATACAGATGTCTGCAGAAAGGTTATTGCTGCCAGCTTTTTCCAATGTGCCAAATAATCTTTGTATAATTTATAAATGATAACAAAGCAATCAGGCCACATTCATAAAAGCCCAGTGACACATAATTTAGCTGAATCTGAGGATTACAATTAATTGTCTCTCTTTGTTCCAAGTTCTAAATCTTAGTAAATGATTCACTGCATGTCATTACAGCTTAATATTTGCATGAAATCGCAGTTTAACTGGCATAATTTAACAGCAATTAAAAAGCTATTTAATCCTCATGCAAATTGGCATGAGGGGCCTTGAGTATGAAGTGTGTTTGCGGGTTTTTCCTGCATTTGCAAGAGGACAGTCTTATGCTTTAAGACACGTCTAACATAATTGATAGTTTTCCTTTTCACTGAAATGTGAAAGCACAATAATATGTGATTTTTCTTACAACTGAGAAATAAGTCACAAACCATAAGAACCTCCACTCTCTAGTACAAATGAAAATATATCTTTTTTTTTTAAAGTATTGTAAAAGTACCAATACTTTCTTATTTTAAAAGAACCAATACTTATTTAAAAGTGTTGGTTCTTCTATAGATGCTATTCCATATAGTGCAAGGAAAATCAAAATCTACAAAACTCTCCTATTCCCTAGATTCATATTCATTCCTGTTGGAGCCTTCCAAAATTGATGAAATAATATCAAAAAAACTTGAGCTATGATGACCTGTTGTCACATTATCTGTAGTTTATGTAAGATTAAATTTAAGCCAGTTTTAGAACACTGACTCCAATCCTTCAAGCAATTACACAGCTGCTTAGTTTTACGTGCATTAATATTACCAATTATTTCAAGGGGATTACTCATCTACTTAAAGTTATGCACATATGGAAGTGTGATTACGGCTCATCCTCCATATTCCTAAAACTCCTCCATGGTTTTAACAGTGGGAATTTGTTAAGATTTAATTCTCACAGCATGGTTTTAGAGGAAACATAACTATTCCTGTCTTCTGAACATAAAGAGTAAGAACTGAAGCTGAAGTAATGAGTGCTGGTTTCAGCTTCCAATCCAATTCCAATCTCAAGACAGTTTCCCAGAGTATCTAGAACTGTCAATCCTCATAGTTATTTTGTGGGAAGATTGGTGAGCTATTAACCATAAACTCTGGACAGATAAATGTATTAATAAATGCTCATCCGTTCAAAAGATCTTAAACTTTCTTATCCGCTAAAAAAATGCAAAGCAGTGTAACACTTCCTTCTATTTTAAATATCAAGTGCTTGAAATCCAGCAGGTAACTCATCATTTATTTCAGGGCTGAGTTAATTACTCTCTTATTACAAGTTGCAAGTAAATACCAGAAATGAAAAAGTGGCTGAATTACAGTTCACAGAAAAGCTTAATGTTTATTATTCACATTAGTGCTCCCACACAATAGCAGCTTTTTATTTACAAGCATTCCAGATTTTATACCCATGCTTATGCCACATAAACAAATAAAAAGCATCACTTAAAAATTATGAATGTTAAACTCTGTGTAAAAATTAGCTGATGTCATTTGCAAATGTTTCTTGTAGCCTTTCAGTCTGCTTAAGAAACTCTGAAATAAGGAAAAGCTCACTCAAAATTTTACCAGTGTCTCAATCAAAACTTTATGCCTAAGTCCTGTTGGCAGTTTTATAAATCATCAAAAGCTGCAAAGTAAGCTGAAAGTTTTCCAAGTTCTGCTAGCCATTGGTGAAGCACTGTGATTTTATTGAGAGCTTGGAATATAATGCTTATTCAACTCATTCAGCCCAAAAATCCCAGAGGTCAGCAGTTGGGTTTACCACGGTTGCCTCACATATATCAACACTGGGAGTATAAGGCCTCACATTTTTCCAAGTCCATGTTTCTTGTAATAATTCTTAGTATGGGATCACATCCAAATTGGTTTTGAAAATCATACATCTGTAAGTGCTGCTTGCTTGAAACATGTTAAGCGGAAGAAAAGCAATACAATAAGAAATTGAGATTATTCAGATATCCTGTAACAATTTATACGTTTCTGTCACCCCTTCATTAATGCCAATCTAAAAAATAATTAAGTGGTAAAGTTCTTCTGTTAGACTGTGGAACCTAATAGGGAATCATAGAATTATAGGGTCATTAAGGTTGGAAAGACCTCCAAGATCACCGAGTCCAACCTTAGATCAATCACAATCTTGTAAACCAGACCACAGCACTATGTGCCACATCTTGTGGTTTCTTGAACACCTCCAGGGAATTTGGTTTCACTGCCTTTGAGGGCAGTAAATTCTAATGCCTGGTTCCCCTTTCTGTGAAGAAATTCTTCCTGATGTCCACCCTGAACCTCTCCCCTGGCACAGCTTGAGGCTTTTTCCCTTTCTCTGTCACTTTTTGCCTGAGAAAAGAGACCAACCCCCATCTGGCTGCACCCTCCTGTCAGGGAGTTTTGGAGAGCAGTAAGGTCATTCCTGAGCCTCCTTTTCTCCAGGCTGAACACCCCCAGCTCCCTCAGCTGCTCCTCATCAGTCTTGATCTCCAGACTCTTCTCCAGCTCCATTGCCCTTCTCTGGACATTCTCCAGCCCCTCAATGCCTTTCTTTATGTGAGGAGCCCAAAACTGGACACAGGACTCGAGGTGCCACACCAGTGCTCAGTGCAGGGGGCAATCACTCGATCTCTCTAATTATTTATTTTATATGTATATATAAAGCCTCAGATGATTTCCATGTGATCCTACACAATAAGTCAGCAAGCAGCTTAAAACTTGTTGAACAGTTCATGACTTATGTGAAGAGTGGGAGATTGGAAGTGGGTCCCTTGCGGTTCTCTGGCAGTGCAGACAGCTCTAACACCTGCTTGTTGTCTTCACATTCCTCCTCATAAACTTTTTTCTTTTCTCTTGCTTCCTGATCATCCTTTTAGACCTTAAGTTGAAAAGTTGATGTCTTCACTGTTATCCTGATCCTGACGAGATGCCAGGTGGGGAAGAAAGAAAACTTGTAAACTGTTTCTTATGCCTAATAGTCTTGGCCTGTTGCCAGCTAACCCTGTTAATGAACAGCATCAAAGAAATCCCTGGGGATAAGCAGTGAAGGATAGAAAGAAATATCTGGCAGTGCAAAACTAATACAAACAATTTTACCTCTTGTCTTTATTCCAGAGCTATTATTTATTTATTACTCAATTTGTCTCATCAAAGATTTTAAGTCTCAGAACAGCCTACGTTACTAGACATAAAATAAGGATATAAATTTTGTGGTTAGAGCTCTCCCTCAGTATCCCACAGCAGCAAGAGCCATTTATTGAAAATTTGGGTTATGTAGTCTAGGTTTGATTTTCCCAAGTCATTTTTGTGTTTTCTTAAACTCTTTCTTATTGTATTTCTGTTGCCCCCAGACGAAGGAAGGAAAGATGAATCTGACTCCATGTTCTCAGAAGGCTAATTTATTATTTTACAATATTATATTATATTAAAGAATAATAAACTAAACTATGCTAAAGAATACAGAAAGGATACTTACAGAATGCTAAAAAATATAATAATGAAAACTTGTGACTCTTTCCAGAGTCTCGACACAGCTTGGCCCTGATTGGCCAATAAGTGAAAACAACTCAGCCCAGAATCCAGTGAGTCACGTGTTGGTAAACAGTCTCCAAATACATTCCACATGAGCAAAACAGAGGAGAAGGAAATGAGATAGTTATTGTTTTCCTTTTTCTCTGAGGCTTCTCAGCTTCATCAGGAGAAAAATCATGGTCGAAGGGATTTTTCAGAGAATGTGAATGCCACACTTTCTGAATTAATTCTAATTTTTTTTGATTACTCAGCTTTTTATGAAAGCATAAATTTATTGTTCGTTTTTTTTCAAGGATTGTATGTAGACAACTTTTAATTTTTACATTGAATCTGTCATTGAAATGTAGCCCTTATTTGCAAATAATTGCCTTCAGGCAAAAGTAGATAACACTGGCTCAACAGGCTTTCCCCTCTTTTCTGCAGGGCCACCCTCTGCCCCGAGGAACGTGGTTTTCAACATCAATGAGACAGCTCTGATGCTGGAGTGGAGCCCCCCGAGCGACACGGGGGGCAGGAAGGACCTCACCTACAGCGTGGTGTGCAAGAAGTGCGGCTCTGACGCCAGCCAGTGCGAGGTGTGCGGCGGCGGCATCCGCTTCGTCCCGCGGCACACGGGCCTCACCAACTCCTCCGTCACCGTGCTCGACTTCGTGTCCCACGTCAACTACACCTTCGAGATCGAGGCCACCAACGGCGTCTCGGAGCTCAGCTTCTCGCCCAAGCAGTTCACGGCCATCACGGTCACCACGGACCAGGACGGTAAGTGCCAGCGCTGCGGGTCTGTCGCCGTGTCCCTGCCGCCTGGGCGCTCGCGGGGGGATCCCATGTTTCTCGGAAGCCTGGGTTGGTCATTAGGGGGCTTTGCGGATTGCTGAATGCTTTTAAGTGCCTTCCATGAGGACTTCCAGCTTCTGCTGATGAGGGCATTAAATGCTTTTGGCAGGTGGCCCTTGACCCCATTACACAGGGCACAAACCCATACCTTTCTGTTTGAAATTAAGTGCAGGCTTTATCCATCTAAGAGAGCTGTGTCAGTGGTTCTTCAGGACTGGAGTCTGTCTGGTGCTTTTGCAACTTCAGTTTTGCAGGAGTAAAACGCCACAGGTTATCCATTACAGCTCCACAATTCGAAGGCAGAGTGAAAGTGAACTCACTTTGCTTGGTATCTGTGTTTCATAGCAAAGATAATACAGCTTACCTCACTGTAAGATACTTGTGCATCTGTATGAGCCATTTCCTCTGGCAAGCTATCCTAATAGATTCTTTTTTATTCCTTTATTTAAACTTTGCATTGTTGTTTTGAGCTGTTTCTTGCCCCCATTTCAGTTTGAATTCATGTCCAAGGTGAATCTTTGTGAGGAACATGGGAAACTAAAAGAGCTCTCTATTTTTTGTTTACTTCTGCAACTTTTTCTTCTTTAGAAATACTTACTGTGCCAGGAAACAGCATCCTAGGTTAGCAACAATGCAATCCATATAGGACTGCTCTCTTCTGGCTTGTGTAACTGTGTACAAGAAGGTTATTTCAGAATTATCCCTTGCTGACATTTGTTCCAGAAATGTTTTTCACCTGCTGTGCAGTGACATTGCAACTGCAGCTGAAGTGTTTAATGTAGAGCAGGAACTGAGCTGGCAGAACTGCTGTTTGGAGTAGAACACATTTGATGATATGTTTGTGCTAAGTAAAAGTGCTAATGTTCAGGAGCATCATGTTATGTTCCACTTGTAGGGAAGGCCCTGGGTTCTTTCAGTGAGCAGCCTAGCAAAAATCTGCTTACCTGTGTATCTGGGATGAGTAGTTTTGTCGATTACTAAGTAATGACTTGTTTGCCTTTGAGCATACAAAAATGAACAGCTTGCTGTGATGATGATGATAATAATGACAGTGATGGTAATACTAATAATATTCATGAAAATTGATTTGAAAAAGCACCAAACCCACTTGCTCACTGTCCATGATGGTAACAGAAGAGCTAATTATATAAGATGCCTAATGATATATAGGCCTTGCATTGACAATTGCCTGAAGCACTGAGGCAATGTATCATGTTGGAAGCCTGCATCTCTATTTCCCTTTCTCACTAAGGGAGAAAGTGAGGTGCCAGAAACTTCCCCTGTGTAAACTTCCCCTGTGTAAACTTCCTTTTGGATGTTTTGCTCCATGGTATTAAACGCAGGCACTAAGCTTGTCCAGGTGGAGGTCACCTGAAATACAGTTCATTTTTAAAGTGTGAACGCAGCTTGTGATGTGCGTTTAAGTGGTAGGATTTTAAAAAATGATGTCTTTTGCTGTTGTCTGTCCCTGGTTTAAGGATATAGATTTCCTCTGTGGTTTACTCAAAACAGGGAAAAGACCAATGCTTTGATAGTTTTTGACACACTGACAGTAAACTCTAGACTGTTTGCATTCCCTTTAATAACTCTTACATTACTAAAAATGCTATTGGAAAGGCTTCAGAGGATTTAAAACCAGATTTTTCAGAATATCTGTCAGTTTATCTAGATCCAAAAAGACAGCTTTGCGTGAGAAAGCGCTGTACTAAATGAAATAGAGTCATATATAAAATGTAGTTATAAAGATAAAAAAATTTCTGTAGGCTTACAGGCTGTGTAGTTTTGTAAAACTGTAAGCACAGTGACTATATATTTAAAAGGACAAGAAAGAAATGCAGTGTTCTATGAAATGTGGGAGAAAATTCATGGAGTTTTTGTTGATGGAAAGTATGGAGAGAAAAATGGACATTTTAAAGTTACTTTTAGTCATAAATAAGGCATATAGAAAAAGCTAGGGTATCCAACCTCAGAAAAGCAAGCTATAGAACTAAAGCTTTGAAACATTGCCGAGATATTATTATAAGCTCACTGCTGGTAGTATTTCCTTATAATCTTTATGCTGATGAAACGGGTGGTAGTGATTGCTTGATATATTGTAGGTTTGTGCACATATTCATAGGAAACAAAGATCCAAGATTAAACATATGACATGGCAACAAAAATATATTTGTTTTTACAAGAACCGCTTTACCAGAACTCCAAAGATTTTGGTTTAAATCCAATTTTTGCATTTGATATGTGTCTAATGTGAAAGATACAGGTGTGCAATAAATTCTACCCACACAACATATTTATCCCATGTTGATACTACCTTTTAATATGCAGTCTTTTCCTACATACTGTTTTAATGGTTTTGGTATGCACATTGCATATTGTGCAAGACCTCTTATAAATACATTAATTGTTTTATTCAGTTGTCATATCTTTGTTAAGAATCTTCTGCTGTTGTAAGTCCAAATCATTCTGTTAGCTACAATAATTTAGAGTAGGGTTTTTTTAAATTTTGTTTTATTTTCTTTGAGCATATTGGATTTACTTCCCTCTAGTGGCCTTTTCTTTTGAGTGGTTTGTGTGAAATTAACAGATTTGTCATTAAGCAGGCAAAATTATTAGCTTCGTCTTCAGGGGTTTTTCTCTGTTTTTGGAGAGCAATGTTGCTGAATAATGTAATTCAGTACAGAGTTCTGTGGGCATCCACAGGAACTGAAGAATTGCATTCTGCCACATTAGTGAAGAGAGTAGTCTGAGAGCATCAAAGAGGGGGAATATTTGCTGACAGGAGAAGTGAACTAATTCAGAAGTCATTAAAGCTGATTTTTATGCACAGAGCCCTACCACAACTAATATTAAAGTCTTAACTGCCTCCTCATGCAGTTGCAAGTATCAACAAGATTGAGTGGTACTCAGTTTTGTGACAAGGAGCAGACTGAAGGAAAGTAACACTTGAAAAAAGGCTTTGCAATCTGCATCCCTCAAACCTCTCTGTAATTTGATGTCTAAAGCATTACCAGACTTGATCAGATACTAAAAAATTTACTAGCATTAATATGAGTAAGGCTTGTAAAATTCACTTGGTGATATTGATTATCTTTTCCTTTAATTTTATACAAGGACTCATCAATGGGTTTGTTTTTTAACCCTTGGCTTCATTAGGAAACAAGATTTCTGTGGCCACCTTTTCTGTCATGCACCACAAAGAAATATGAACCCATTAGTCAATATGAGTTTGATAACAACAAAAAAAGATTCAACAGAATTGTGAAAAATGACCCTTCAGTCACCAAGCCCTTGGTTAGGTCTGCAAGTTGGAAAGCAAAGTTCATTTACCTGAGGGTTGCTTTCTGTGTTGGACACCAGCTGACTGACCACTCAGTCTGCCTGTTGCCTGGCTTGCCAAGAAAAAATATATATATTTATGGTCCTGTACAATCACAGCATGTGCTGTGTCTTGTCCAGCCAGTGTGGCAAACAAGGACAGGGCAGGGTGTGTTAGGAAGTACAGATGTTGCAGATGGAGAGATGAGGGAAGTGATCTATATGCTACCCTTCAGTAGCTTTGTTCCAAAGTGTTTTGAGATACCAGAATAAATTCTCACTTTGAACTCAGATAAATGGACAGATAAACAGGGTTCTGCTCAGAAAAGCACTTAAGCAGAGTTCTTGCTCAAGAAGGAACATTAGTACATATTAAAGCACTTTCCTAAATCACTGCTAAAGTGATTTGTAAACAACTGAAAGATAAAACATGTTTTCACAAAAAGCCTCATCAAAAAATGTTTAACAATGCTATTGTTCAGAAAAGTGCCTGGATGCCTTTTTTTTATGCGAGAGAGAGAAAGTTTTATACAGCAGTAAATATGCTGAGTACAAAGTAATTGTGCTTAATCAACTTTAAACCATTGTGTGAAGAAGCAGAGAATTATGTGCCGAGTTGTAATGTATATTTCTCTTATGAGTAATGGAAGGAAGAGACATCTCAATATGTAACTTTCTTAGCATGCCATAGTGTCTGCATTGCCTAAAGAAAATTCAGAAGCACTGGAGGTTTTTCATGCATAATTAAAGTAGTAAATAATGAATATTTAAGCAAAACAGGCCTTAAAACAGTAGTCCCTGTTTCCAAATAGCAGTCCATGTATGCTTTCACTCACTGTGCATTCATACTTTCTATTCCTTTAGAACAGAGGGGGCTTTAACTTTACACTACAGGGAATGGGAGTATGAAACATATCCCAAGTGGTGGAGAGTTTACACTGGAGAAATTCCCTTTCTGTCACTGCATCCTGGAAAGTCTTCTCCTTGCTCAGCTCTGCAGTTTGTGGGTGACTCTGATCTCTGTGACATCAAAGACCTGCTGGCAGAATCTGAGCACGAGCGGCTTCACTCTGAGGGCACAACCCTACCACTGTACTAAACACTTGTCTCATTTTTCTGTGTCTGTCTCGTGTTGACAGCTGAGAGTTTCAGTCAGACCCCAAAAGTGCAAATCTGTCAGGATTCTGTTGTCTAATACATCTTATTTCATGTGAGCTATTGGCAGATAAATATTTGCCATGGTTCCTCATCTGATGGTAAAATCTCGCCAGTGTTTGGAAGTGTTTAATATAATTCTTTTTTCTAAGTTAAGGTCTATTTCTAGTACAGATGGCTTCCTCAAATACATTTATAGTTCAGTGGAGACAGTCTGTAGAAAGAGGAACCTCTTTTACTCATTGCTGTGGGAATTGATGAATACCTGCAAGGATTTCAGTGTCTCTTCCAGGAATAAACATGATTGTATCGCCATGAATTAAAGGCATGAAGTATAATAATCACTGTGGAGATGGTGTAAGTGGTTAAGAGCCTCATCTGGCTGACATTCTGTGTCTCAGTAACACTCCCAGTTTATCAAGATTATTCCTTGTGGCTGGTGCCAGTAGAGTTTC